CCTCAATGCGCTGCTCGAAACCATGGAATCGAGCCTCCCATGAGGTGCTGCTACCTGTGATCATGGACTGCATGTCCTCCTAGGTCTTGGTCTGTGCCTCGCTCAAGACACTGATCGATGTCTCCATTGCTGCAGCACGATTCTGGTAGGAGTCGATCGCGGCGCGCATGGTGGACAGCTCGGATGACAGCTGCGCTGACTGGTTGTGTACTGCTGCCGTGAGCGCCTGAAGCGCGGCAGCATCCGCCATGGCGAGAAAGACGGCGAACTGCTTCTGATTCAAAGAGCAAAATGCTCGCGAGAATCCTTCCTCCACCCTGGGCAGGGCCACTGATCGGAGGGAACCCAATGTGGTCAACCTGGACCAACCTCGAGAGATGGATTACTTGAGCCAAAATGGCTACGGAGCCAAAGTGGCTACGGAGGAGGAGGGGGGGGAGGAGGAGGAGAAGGAAGATGAGAAGGATGGAGGAGGAGCCATCCCCACACGACTCCCTGTGACTGCATTGGGGCCCCCTCCTCTTCCCAAATAACCAAAATCCACACGAGCATTCAGAGGTCCGCGCGGAGTTCTTGCATCGGCACTGAACCCCCCTGGCTGCGCCACGCCCACGTCGCCTGCCAGGGGGGGGCTCTGTCGCCAATCCAGGAGATCCATGCTGACCTGCGAATGTGTATGATCATGTCCTTATTCGATCCTGCCCGTGGTCCTGCTCTCAACGCTCCTCCTCCTCCTCCTCCTCCTCCTCCTCCTCCTCCTCCTCCTCCTCCTCCCGGAAGCCTCTTTCGGGCCACCTGGGGCGGCCCCTGGGGCTTCAGGGAAGCTTTTGGGGGCCTCGGGGAGGCACCAAAAACCCTAGACAAATCCCAAACTGGCAGGCTGCCGCGTCTGGGATTTTTCTTGGAATTTTGGGGGCCCTCCGGGTGCTTCCTGGAGCCTCTGGATTGCCCTGGGGAGCGTTCCTGGGAGCCCGAAGGCACTTTCGGGCCCACTGAGGGCTCCAGGAGGGACCCAGCTATCCCGGGCGATCCCGGATTCACAAGCTTGTGCGTCTGGGATCTTCCCTGGTTCTCTGGGGCCCTCCCAGGAGACCTCCTTTGGAGCCTTCCTCCAGGCGGGCTCGCTCTGGCGTCGCTCTGGCGCGTGGTGGCAGGAGCCGGCCCCCCGTCGACTGGGGCGGTTGTTTGGGGTGGGGCCGGGGCCCCTCGTGCCGAAGCCGCCCGCCCTGCCTGCCCTGCCCGCCCGACTGCCCTGAAACATCCCGGCGCGGCCGTTTGAGGTGGTAGGAAGGGCTGGGGGAATGGGCCTGGGCCCCTCGAGCCGAGGCCGCCTGCCTTGCCTGCGCTGCCCGACCGGCTGCCCCGAAACAGCCAGGCGCGGGTGTTTGGAGTGGTGGGAGGCTGGGGGATGGGCCTAGGACCGTCGCCCCCGATGACGCCTCTCTCCTGCCCCTGCCCCCTTTGTTACCCCCTCCGCACTCTTCTTCCTCCTCCTCCTCCTCCTCCTACTCCTCCTCGTCCTCGTCCTCGTCCTCGTCATTCTCGTCCTCCTCTTGCTCCTCCTCCTCCTCCTCCTCGTACTCCATGCCTTCTCCTTTTCAATAACTCCTCCCTGTCGCACCCCGAAGCTAGTTGTTAGGGCGTGCCGGGCGTTTCGCCTGAGACTTCCCAACCATTTACGATTATGAAACTTACAAAGTGACAACGGTTTCACAGATGGAGGGCGGGTGGTTTTCAAAATGTGGCTCTCGCGCACATTCGTTTTTAATTGAGGGCGGGTGGTTTTCAAAATGTCGCTCTCGCCTTAGCGCCGCGCACATTCGTTTAAAAAAAATGGCATGAGCTTCGAGGATTGAGGGCGGGTGGTTTTCAAAATGTGGCTCCCGCCTTAGCGCCGCGCACATTCGTTAAAACAAATGCAAGAGCTTCGCGGATTGAGGGCGGGTGGTTTGCAAAATGTGGCTCTCGCCTCAGCGCCGCGCACATTCGTTAACCAAAAATGGCAAGAGTTTCACAGATTGAGGGCAGTTCCTTCTCAAAATGCGTCTCTCGCCTAAGTGCCGCGCACATTCTTTTTACACATTCGCAAGAGTTGCACGGATTGAGGGCGGGTCGTTTTCAAAATGTGGCTCTCGCCTTAGCGCCGCGCACATTCGTTTTTTTATATATATATATATATATATATATATATATAATGCAGAGAGTTTCACATATTTCCATGGTCAGCGTACCAGAAGTGGTGTTTGGAAGGATTCAGGAATATGCGGGCGCAACAGTTGTGTTGATTCGCTGTGTTGAAATCCAACGAATGGCGTTCTGGCACGACTCTGGATCGTCAAGACGCAGCAGTCAGGTTGATATGTGGCGTTGCAATCCAGAGAACATTTTTTTGGTACGCTTCAGGATCTTCTTCCAACGAGGCAGTTCCCTCAACGGAAATGAACCGTTGCGAGGGCCTATGAAGAGGGAGCTTGGAGGAAGGGTTAATTCCACCATCGTTGATGATTCTTGGGTTTCCACTGGTCCTCCTCCTCCTCCTCATCCTCCTGCTCCTGCCCATGCTCCTGCTCCTGCTCCTAGTCCTCCTCCTCCTCCTTCTCCCCGTCCTCCCCGTCCTCCCCGTCCTCCTCCTCCTCCTCCTCGTCCTCCTCCTCCTCGCTTCCCGTCGCCCCTGTCCTCCTTTCCCCGCCTCGGAGCGCGCCGTGCGCCGGACCCCAGCCAGGCAGTGGGACCGCGCCTGGGAGGCTGCCTTACCGCTGATGGGCGAGGCGCCTTTCCTCTTCCCCCCCCTCTGCGTCCTCCCTCCCTCCCTCCCTGCCCCCCCTTCCCTGGGCCGCGCTGGAACCCGCGGCTTGCCGGCGGGCTCCTGCGCAGGCCGAGCCCGCCTAGCCCGCTTAGCCCGCCTTCGGCGGGCCGCTCGAGGGCGGGATGCTGAGGGGCTTCCTCGGTGCTGGGGCAGGGCCCCGGGGGGGAGCGCAGTGCCGCCGCGCTTGCCCGGCCCGCACGGCGCCCCCGCCCTGGGCGCCGGCCAGGGGACGGGTGGCACGGACGAGCATGCGCAGGCGCCCACCCCCCCCTGGGGCGCTGGCCCGCCGACCCCGACTGCGTTGGCCCTTCGGCCCCTCGGGGTGGCGGCGCTCGCGGCGGGGCGGTCTCGGCCCCGAGGGGCCCTTCACCACTTGAGCAAATCAATGAGCAGCCCCGCCTCCCCGCCCTCGGCCGCCGGCCCAGACTAGGAGGGTGAGGATGAGGAGGACGGGCATCGGGGCGACAATGATGGTATTGACGATGGAGGGGGGCGGAGAGCCCCCAAGATACCAAAGGACGTAGCCAAGGAAGTACCCAAGGAGGCATCCTAGGATGCACCCGAGGAGGTACCCGAGGAGGTACCCAGTGAGGTACCTAGTGAGGTGCCTAAGGAGGTACCCGAGGAGGTACCCAGGGGTACCCAAGGAGGTACCCAAGAAAATACCCAAGGATGTACACAATGATGTACCCAAGGAGGTGCCCAAAGATGTACTTCCCGAGGCATGGCCGAAACCGATCACAGGGATCACCGGGACCGGTTCCCTCACGAGCGCTGGCAAGCCAAAGTGACTATGGGTACTTTCCCCCTAGCGCCAGCCACTGGTGGATAGCTTTCTGCCATGCCTCCGACTTTGAGGATGGGCCCTGCTCTTGGCCATATACTGGATTCGGACTTTCCTGCAAGTTCGCAGGCACCAGTATTTCTCCGACGACCGCTTAATCCTCACATATGGGCTTAGGTGCCCTTGAAACCTATAGCGAGCTTGGTAATCCTCCTCCTCCTCGTCCTCATTTTGGTCTTCCTTGTCCCCGTCCCCTCATCCTTCCCCTCCTCTTGACTTTGTACGCTGTCCAGGGACCAGGCTGCGGTCCTCCTCCTCGGACTCGGATTTCTTCAAAGATCATGAGCTTGCATCCCATACTCTCCTGCTCCTCCTCCTCCTCCTCCTCCTCCTCCTCATCATCACCATCACCATCATCATCAGCAGCAGCATTCAAATCATCATCATCATCATCATCATCATCATCATCATCAGCAGCATCATCATCATCATCATCAGCATCATCATCATCATCATCATCATCATCATCATCATCATCATCATCATCAGCATCAGCATCAGCATCAGCATCAGCATCACCATCATCATCATCATCAGCATCATCATCATCACTATCATCGTCCTCGTCATTGGCATCGTCATCGGCATCATGACCATTATCACCATCACCATCACCATCATCATCATCATCACCATCATCGCCAGCATCATCAGCAGCATCATCATCATCAGCAGCATCATCATCGTCGTCATCATCATATTCATCATCATCCTCATCATCATCACCATCATCAACATCATCATCACCATCATCACCATCATCAGCATCAACATCATCATTGTCACCACCACCATCATCATCAACACCATATCACCGCCATAATCACAATGACCATCGCGGTCATCACCGTCACCATCATCATCACCATCACCACCATCACCGTAACCATCACCATCCTAATCCTCACCATCATTCTCATCATCGTCGTCCTCCTCATTCTCAGTATCCTCATCATCAGCAGCATAGTCACTAGTATCACTGTCATCATCAGCATCATCACCAGCAACAGCATTGACATTATCAGCACCATCACCACCACCACCACCACCATCATCATCATCATCAGCATCAACATCATCATCATTATCATCATCATCATCATCATCATCATCATCATCATCATCAGCATCAGCATCAGCATCAGCATCAGCATCATCATCATCATCATCATCATCATCATCATCATCATCATCATCACCAAACCAGGCCCAAGCAAACGACGTTATCGCCGTGGACTTAACGGTTGCCTTGGGCACGATGTGCCTCGTCAACCCGACAAAATCTGTCTGAGATGTCCTGGGCTCTTTGGCCCTTCCGTGAGAGCGCTCCTCCCTGCAGGCCGCGGGCACTTCTTGCTCTCGTGCTGGGCCCAGCCGAGCAGCGTCACCACGTTGGGATGCCTGGTGGCCATCACGGCAAGCGCGTGTCGGGACGACCTCTTGCGCTGGTGTCCGACACCGCGTGGGATCGCTCGACCTTGAGCGATCGCGCCTTTCCTGGAGGCGCGAAACCGCTCGAGGTCGGCCGAGTTTGGGCCGCCAGCGGCGCTCCAGCCTGGAGCGCCCGCGATGGGGCCGCCGCCGCCTCGGCACGACACGAGCCTGCCGTGGCCGCCTCTGGAGCTGCGGACGGCGCGACGTCGACGCCGTCCCCGTCGAGGCACAAGCAGACGGAGCGGAGGAGGAGGAGGAGGAGGAGGAGGAGGAGGAGGAGGAGGAAGAGGCGGAGGAGGAGGAGGCGGAGGAGGCGGAGGAGGAGGCGGAGGAGGAGGCGGAGGAGGAGGAGGAGGAGGAGGCGGAGGAGGAGGCGGAGGAGAAGGGGTGTAGTAGTGTGCGCGCGGTGCTTCGGAGACCATTCTGCGTGCTCAGTTGTCCAGGGCGAGGTGCCGTCTGATGGGCCACGCGCGGAGACCGCACACAAAGGGCACTTGGAGCGCGCGCGCACGCCAGTCGAGCGCCAAGGGTAGGAAAGAGACCAGGAGACGAGGACGAGGAGGAAACGGAAGCGGAGGCAGAGGAAGGACGAGGAGGAGCAGAGACAGGGAGGAGCGGGAGAAACAAAGAGCAAGAGGACGAAGGGCAACGGGAATCGGGAACAGATCAGGAGCATCTGGTAATTACGAACCCGCGTGCAGATGTGATTGAGAGTAAAGGGCCGAGCAAGAATAAGGGGGGGAGGAGGATACAGGGGAAAAGGAAGATGATGATGGGGATTCGCATCGAAAGAGGAAGGGAGGGTGGTGGGTCTAGCAACGAGGGAGGAGCGGGGAGGGAGGAAGCAAATGGCAGGAGAAGGGAGGAGAGGCGAGAGAGGGAGGAAGGAGTCGGGAAGGGGGGAGGAGGCACGAGGGACAAGGGAAGGGGGCAAGTAGAGAGGAGAGAGGAATGTCCTGGACAACCAGGCCCTCCTCACAGCCACCACCAGCATCTTCCTTCGTCTCCATCTCCCGAACCATACTTATCTTCGCCTTCGCCCTTCAACTCATCCTCATCCTCACGCCTCTCTCCTAGCCCCACCAGCCCTTTAGGGCCGAGGTGGTCCAGCAGGCTTTATTTCCACCCCCCGTCTTCCCCTCCGGGGAGGGGCTTATCACTGTTCCTCATCCACATGCACCCCCTCTCCCAATCTACCGGCCCCCCAACCCGAGTCAATGCTAACACCCCCCCACCATCCATCTCAACTGAAAATGCAAAGTACACTTTGCGGCCGATTCTAGATCACGCTTGGGCGATCCACAATGGTTTCGAAACGTTTTTTTTCGATTGAGGCGATGGGGGGGATCATATTGCCCCACATGCAGGCCCACCAACCCTGCGAAGAGCAAATGCTAATTGCACACTGCCGCAAAATCCAAAAGCGCGTGCGAACGCCCCGTGGACTGCTTGCACTGCTCTTTGACCAGGATGCTTCCCCTGGCACGCGCGCGGACGACCTCGCGCACCTGGCTGGTGCCTGTATTGGCTCCCGATGGTTCTCGATGGCGGCTCCTGCAGATGCTGAGGCTCGAGCGTTGCTTACGTGGTGGGAAGGCAGGCAGAAGTGAGCGAGACGACCGTCCTTTGGGGGGGGGGGAGAGCTTGACTTCTCCACGCACGCCAAAGACTTCCCCGCCGCTTGTGACCCTGAAGCTTGAAATCCCACCAGCCCTTTAGGGCGTAGGTAGTCTAGGGTGTGTTGTGTTCCATCTGCCCCTCTTCCCCTTCGGGGAAGGGTTTACCACTGTTCCTCATTGATATACACCTCCTCCCCCACCTGACCGGTGGCCAACCAGGAACCATGCCGATTCCATGCGGGCCCGCCCCCCACTATCTCTGTCAACAAAACAATACACACTGGAGTCAGCCTCCACATTTGGAGCATGCGCGGCCAACCCGATGCGCCCCCCCACACCATTCCTGTAAAAAACAAAAATACAATTTAGGGCAAAGTCTTGCGTCATATTCGTGAGGCCCGCGAGCACTTTGTATTGTTTTTGACATGGACGGCGGAGGTGTCAGCGAATTGCCTGCTGTGCGCAGGGCTACCATCCCTGACAAAAAACAATACAACATGCACCTCGCGGCTAAATCTGGATCATGCGCGGCCATCCCGCGATCACTGTCAAGTGGGGTTTGACAGTGACGGCGGGAGTGGTGTCGCGTGATCTGCTGTGCGCAGGCCCACCAGACACAATGATGGGCACGGGCATTGGTTTTCGTCAAGGATGGCGGGGGCCGACGTATTTCCCGATGTGTCCTGTCACGTGCGCAGGCGCACCTGGCGCACTCTGCGCGTGCGCCGAACGTGACGTATTTGGCGCGGCTGGAATGTGCGGCGTACCTGGCGCACTCGGAGCACGTGGCGCATCTGGCGCACCAGGCGTGCCTGGCACGCTCGGGCCCCAGGGGTGCGTGGCGCCTCTGGCACGCGTGGCGCACCTCGACCAAGCGTCGCGCACCTGGGGTCGGCGTTGGTTCCCAGTAGCTGCCCATCCAAAAACGACCGCTGAACGTGCTCCGGCTCGGGTGTTATTCATGTGGGAGGGCGGGTGAGGATGAGCTCGACGGTTTGCGGGCGGGTGGGTAGCTTGACGTCTCCCCCTAGGCCCCCCCCTGGACCTGGACGGGGCCGGCCGCGAGGTGTCAGAGCGTCCGAAACGGCCTCGGCGAGGAAGCCCAAACCATTAGTTTTACGCCTCTTGGGGGGGCACCGCCAATTAAAGCTCCCCTCTTGTTTGATCGATGTACTCCAAGATGGCCCCAAGGGTGCTCCCAAGGCTCCCAAGAGCGTTTCAAGAGGGCCCCATGAGGCGACCAGGAGACCCCAAGAGGCGCCCAAAAGGTCTCCAAGATCCCAAGAGACCCCAAAGAGGCCCCAAGAAGCTCCCCGAGGCACGCAGGACGCTCCAAGAGGCCTCTGGAACCGCCAGGAGGCTCCCAAGATGCTCCAAGAGGCCTCCACTGGGGGACCCTTCCTCTGCGTGCTGCCCACTTCCCTGATCGAGGCAACTCCTCTGGGCATCGTTGCTGGATGGGCAGGTGGGGCTACTTTTTTTTGGTACGCGGGCGCGTAAAGCCAAGTCGAACGCCGAGCAAGCTAGAGCGGGCCGCGCCGTAGCAAAGGAAAAACAACAAAGTGAACAGCGTCCGCGCTGGTGTGGTTACGCGAAGCGTCTAGAATGTGCAATAGTTTCACGTATGGAGGGCGGCTGGTTTTCAAAAAACTATGCTCTCGCCACCGCCGCGCACATTCCTCGTAAAAGCTTGCAAGAGTCTCAAGGGCGGAGTGAGGTCCGTTCAGCAACTTCACTGGTGGATGGCGGCTCCTTTTCAAAATGTGATTATCGCGTTAGCGCCGCGCACGTTCCTCGTAGCACTTTGCAGCAACTTCACTGCTGGAGGACGGCTCCTGTTCAAAATGTGGTTCTCGCCCTAGCACCGCGCACACCTTAAATGTTCTCAGCAGTTTACAGCAGCTTACACGGCTCGTATGGCTGAATCTCAGAAGAAGCGTTCTTGCACGAAGTGAGACTGTCAGGACGGAACCGTCACGTTGATGCGCGCGCGGTGTTGAAGTCCCAGAAACGGGGCTCTGGCACGAATTAGGTCTGTCAAGCCGCAACAGTCACCTTCATCCGCGGAATTGAAAACCCAGAGATGGTGTTTTGACACGGTTAAATATTATCTGACGGTTGCCTTCTAAAGGGCCACTTCCCGCTATGAACAGTAATTCTTGCAGTGACCTAAGAAGAGGGAGCTTGGAGGGAGGGCTTATTGCAACATCGTTGATGCGTCGTGGGTTTGCATTGTCATTCCGCCAAATCCTTCTCCGAGTGCCTAGTTGACGTCGTCGTCAGCGCCCCCTTTCTTCTCTGATCTCTTCCTCCTGCCCTTGCTCCTCCCTCCTCCTCCTCCTCCTCCTCCTCCTCCTCCTCCTCCTCCTCCTCCATTCCTTTCCCTTCTAACTAGCAAGTTTTTAGGGCGGGCCGGGCGTTTCGCCTGAGACTTCCTCACAATGTATGACCCTGAAGCTTGAAACATTGGCAACAATTTCACAGATGAAAGGCGGGTGGTTTTCAAAAAATGGTTTTCGCCTAAGCGCCGCGCACATTCGTTCTGAAAGATTGCAAGAGCTTCATGGATTGAGGATAGCCCGTTTTCAACATGTAGCTCTCTCCTTAGCACCGCGCGCATTCGTTCTAACACTTGGTAAAAATTTCACGGACTGATGGCGGTTCCTTTTCAAATAATGGCCCTCGCCTTAGTGCCGCGCACATTCGTCCATAAAATTTGAAATTTCACGGATTCCCACGATCAACGTACCAAAAATAGCGCTTTGGAAGGATTCCGGATTTTGCGGGTGCAACATTGGTTCGCGGTGTTGAAATCCAAAGAATGGCGTTCTGGCACGATCCAAGATCGCAAAAACGCAACAGTCAAATTGATCCGTGGCGTTGGAATCCCGATAACAATGTTTTGGCATGCTTCAGGGTCTTCAAACGGTTGCCTTCCAAGGAGGCAGATCCCTCAATGGAAATGAACCACCGTTGTACGGGGCCTATAAATCGGGAGCTTGGAGGGAGGATGTATTCCAACATCGTTGATGGCTCTTGGGTTTACACTGGTCCTCCTCCTCCTCCTCCTCCTCCTCATCATCATCATCATCATCATCCTCCCTCCTCTTTCGACGCTGTTGCTCGCTTTTGTTGGGGCAGCCCCACCTCCTCTCCCTCTCTTCCCCTCTCCCTCCCCCGCTCCTTGCCTCGGGCGGGTCTGCGAGCGCCTAAGAGGGGGTCTGGGTGGCTCACACCCCTCCGCCGCGCGTCCGTCTCCTCCGCCTTCCGGTTCATGCCTGCTCACCCCTCTCCCGCTCCCCTCCCCTTCCCCCTCCGCGCTGCTGCTTCTTCGGGGTGCGCCCTGTCGCCCGCACCCGGGTGGAGTGGCGCCCTACACTTCGGGTGCTGAGAAAACCTCCTGGATAGGCATGCCCCTTCGTTGTTTTCTGTGGAGAGGACACACGGCCGCGACACGCCCAGCCCCAGTGGACACGCACCTCAAAATTAGGTGCGTGTCATGGCTGCGGATTCAGCGGGATGATGAGGAGGAGGAGTAGGAGAAAGAGGAGGAGGAGGAGGAGGAAGAGGAGGAGGAGGAGCTGCAGCCAATCCCCCCCTACCCCTCCTCCTGCCCCTCCTCCTCCGCCTCCTCGAGCCTTGCCCAGCTCTTGCTGCAGCTGCAACCCCCCGCCGACCCCACCGCCGAGAACGCCGCCGCCGAAGGGGCCGGCCTGAAGCGGCTCAGCACCCGCACCTGGCGGCCGCGGGGCGAGAGGAGCCGCGCGGGCGGGAAAGGCCGACCACGCAGAAGGACCATTGACGATGTGGCTTTTTGATGCCAGCGTGTTTACAAGGTTTCGGCACCGACGGCCCACTTATCGGGCCCTTGGGGGGAGAGGGCAGCGAGCACCTACCCACCGGGAAGGGATCGGGGCCTCTGGGGCCGCGCATGGGAAACAAGAGCGAAAAAACGTCGGATGCCCGAGTGTGCACATGCGCACGGCCGTGGCTGGGCACATCCTGAGCCTGGGAGCGGCGCCACACTGTGCCCTCCTGAGCCTGGCCGAGGAGGCGCGCGCACCGATCCTGTGCCGCAGGCGGCCTGGGCGGGCGCACGGCTCTCGACGTCCGACCGCGTGGTCTCGTGTGTGCCCTGCCCCTGGCTCTGGCGGCGAGACGACGGGGCCAGGTCCGGGCCTCACGGCACGATGACGCAGCTCCTCCTCCTCCTCCTCCTCCTCCTCCTCCTCCTCCTCCTCCTCATCTTCCTCCTCCTCGTCCTCCTCCTCTCTTCCTCCTCTCTTCCTCCTCGTCCTCCTCGTCCTCCGCCTCCTCCTCGTCCTCCGCCTCGTCCTCCGCCTCCTCCGCCTCCTGAGTGCGGAGGCGCAGAGGAGCAGTGGACGGACGGGCCCCCGCAGACTCCACGGCGACGTCGGGATGGAACGGATCGTGCTGCAGGCTGCGCCGCGTTGCTGATGCGTCGGCGGTGCTGCGCGATCCTCCGACCCCAGCTGTTCCAGACCTATTTTGGGGGCGGCCTGGATGTCAGATTCCGTCGGCGTTCTCGCGAAAGACAATCCAATCGGCTGCGGTATGGCTCACCGCGGTACGCAAACGTTGACGCATCAGAGCGCCGTCGAGAAGTCACGGCGGATGCAGCGGGACTACTTCGGCCGCTGGGGGGGTCCGTCTTCGGGACCCAGGACCATCGACAAATCCGCCGATCCGGCGCGTGAGTTTGAAAGAGCCTTAGATGTAGTCTCAGCTTCAGGTCCTGAGCTTCTGCTCTGCTGGGGGATGGGTGCCGGGGTGGCTCTGCCGGGGTAGGGGGGGGGGGGGGACGCGCTGTGCTGCGTTTTCCGGGGGGGGGGTCGGGCCGTGGGAAACACAGCAGAGTACCATCCCGGATGCCAGAGAGCCCGAGATTGCTGCAAGATATTTCGAAGACGGCCCAATATGTACCCAAGACGGCCCGAGATGGCGTCATGACGGCCCAAGAGGCCTTCAAGAGGCCTCTAAGACGGCCGAAGACGTCTCCAAGAGTTCCCCAGAGGCCCGAAGAACACCCAAAAGGTCACCCAAGAGGCCCCAAGAGCACTCCAAGGCTCATGAGGCCAAAATCGTATGTTTTCCGATAGTTTTTGACGGATTTTGACATGCTCGCCTTTGCGGGTTTCCGACGCTCCAAGACGGCACAAGAGGCCCCCAAGATCGCACCAAGACGGCCAAGGAGGCTCCCAAGAGCGCCCCAAAACTGCCCAAGGAGCCCCAAGACTACTCAAGAGGGCCCCAAGACGGCCCAAGAGGGCTCCAGGACTACTTCGGAGGCACCCAAGGCGCTCCGAGAGGGCCCCAAGACGGCCCCAACAGAAGCCCCAGAGAGGGAACCCGACCCAACACTTCGAATCTTCCGGCGCAAGAGGCTCCAAAAAAAGCCCACGAGGCCTCTCAGAGGCCCCCTCAGGAGGCCGCAGGGGGACCCCAATAGGCGCCAAGATGCCCAACAGGCCCTGCAATTGTCCCGAAAAGGCCTCCGAACTGCGTCCAACAGGCCTCCGAGAAGCTTCCCAGGACACCCCGACACACATACAAGAGGCATCAAACCCACAACCCAAGCACGATGTCGGGTTGGGCGGAAAGCCACTAGGATAATAAACAAATCTTGTGCGTGTAACCAGATCATCACCATCATCATCATCATCATCATCATCATCATCATCATCATCATCATCATCATCATCATCATCATCATCATCATCATCATCATCATCATCATTCATCATCATCATCATCATCATCATCATCATCATCGTCATCATCATCATCATCATCATCATCATCATCATCATCCTCATCATCGTCATCATCATCATCATCATCATCATCATCATCATCATCATCATCATCATCATCATCATCATCATCATCATCGTCATCGTCATCGTCATCATCATCATCATCATCATCATCATCATCGTCATCATCGTCATCGTCATCGTCATCGTCATCATCATCGTCATCGTCGTCATCGTCATCATCATCATCATCATCATCGTCATCGTCATCGTCATCGTCATCGTCATCAGCATCATCATTACCACCACCACCACCACCACCATCAGCATCAGCATCATCATCATCATCGTCATCGTCGTCATCGTCATCATCATCATCATCATCGTCATCGTCATCGTCATCGTCATCGTCATCAGCATCATCATTACCACCACCACCACCACCATCAGCATCAGCATCAGCATCATCATCATCATCATCATCATCATCGTCATCGTCGTCATCGTCATCATCATCATCATCATCGTCATCGTTATCGTCATCGTCATCGTCATCAGCATCATCATTACCACCACAATTACCACCACCACCACCACCACCATCATCATCATCATCATTATCATCAACCTCATCATCCAAATCGCATCGGCAGCTCCCCCGGATCGGCGGCACTGGCCGGAGGCCACTACTATCATCCACGACGAGAAGCCTGTCAACAGGGTGGGGCCGGGAGCTCAGGGGATACCCTTTTCCGTCGGCGGTCAGGTGGGGCAATGCGCTCCAGCGTGGCAGCGATGTAGGGGCACTACAAAGCGAGTTTGCCGGCATGCAGGAGGAGGGAAGCTCAGGGGATACACGTCGTGAACACAAACAACGTGGGAGGTCTGTGAAGCGAGGGTGGCGGCCTTCGCACAGAGTGGGCGCCTGTGGCGGGGCGCAGGGAATCGTGAGGCTTGCTCTGAAGGCCGCCCCCTTCAGGCTGCTCCATGCTGTGCGTCGCGGGGGGGTACAGTGAGAGCCCATGCCAATATACACCCTGCTTGCCTCCAGGGTGCCCTGGGTTTGCCTGGGTTTCTATGGCTTTGCGATGGAAGGCGCGACGCTCCCACGCTCCCACACCAAGAATCAGTGGACGTCCTGGGGTCTGAGGGTTTGGCTTCTTGTGGAAGGTTTCTTGTGGTTGGGCCCCTACTGTAAGTAGGAGTGGGCCGTCCTCCCCGAGCGTGCGGTGGTCGGACCCCATGGGGGACGATCTCGGCACGCGTGCGGTGGGGGATGGCCGAATGATGCATTGGGCGGGGCGGCGTGGGGGAGACCGTATTCAACAAAGTGAAACATCCGTGCGAGTCGAGGTTTTCGAAGCAGATGAGGGGGGGGGCAGATCTTGAAGAACAAAATCCGTGGGGAAAGGGCACTTTCCAGTGGCACGACAACGGCTGGAACCGAAGACCCGCCGTGCGCGGCATCGACTGCGGCAATGCGGAGCAACGCAGGCAAAGCGCAGCTAACAACATTGACACACAGAGCAATGTAAGAGAACGCCCAGCCATGGCGAGCGTTTCAAAGCTAAGTTAGAACGAGACACGGCCACCATGGACCATGCAAGGCACATCAGACCACCACAATCGAGCGCATCGCATGCCGATACAAATGACAGCCAGTGAAAACGCGCTGGTTAAAGTGAAGAGCACCAAAGCAACCACTAATGCAGGCATACCCGAGCCAATCAAGCACCGGCACGAAGGCGACGATACGCATTGGAAAGCTGGGCGTACGACGCCTGCGGGCGCAAGAAAAGACGACTCTAAGCGAAGAGCAACCTCAGATCGCAAAAAACGGTTAGCCATACATGCACAGAAGACCGGAAGCACCTTGCCCCAGAGGAAGGCTGAGAACGGCAGACACGCGCGAGCGAGCGAGCACTTGGTCCATTCTGGAGGCCGCCCAAATGGGGCCCGAGCAGATGGGGTCGGAGGACTGTGCTGCATCGCATCGGCGACGGCGAGACGGAGAAGGAGGAGCTCCAGATCGCGCCGCGTCGCCGATGCATCGGCGATGCGGCGCGATCCTGCGACCCTGTCTGCTCGAAGCCCCCTTGGGCGGCCTTGGCCTCCCCTTGCCTCTCGCTCCCCGGGCAGGAAGCAAACGGCCCCCGAGGGGAAGCGGGCTCTGGCCACGGGGCCCCTCCCCCCAAGGCCATATTCTCGTCCTTGGTCCCTGGTGGACGAGGAGGGACGGGAGGAGGACGAGGAGGACGAGGAGGAGGAGGAGGAGAAGGAGGAAAGGAGGAGGAGGAGGAGGAGGAGGAGGAGGAGGAGGAGGAGGAGGAGGAGGAGGAGGAGGAGGAGGAGGAGGAGGAGGAGGAGGAGGAGGAGGAGGAGGAGGAGGAGGAGGAGGAGGAGGAGGAGGAGGAGGAGAAGGAGAAGAGAGCCCCGGGGCTCGTGGGAAAGGCCCTGGGGAGCCCGAAAACGGCGGAAAAACCGCAGGACCCGCTTCCCCCCCCATGGCGGCCTCCCCCTCTCTCTGCTCGCCCTGGGGCCCTCTCTTCCCCTCTCTCCACCTTCCCCCGCGGTCGGTGCCTCTCCCTGGTTGCCGCCACAGAGGGGCGTTCCTCCGCTCTCTCCTCCCCCTTGCTTCTCAACCTCTCGCCTCCATCCATATGCATCCTGGTGGCTGGTACCTCGTCCTGGTTGCCTCCATGGGAGGGTCTCCCCTCCTCTCTTCGGTCCCCTCCGCCCCGCGGGGAGACGAGGGACGTCGGCCGGGCCGGCCCGCCTCGTCCTCGAAACCCTCGAGGCCGCCCATGTCATTCAGCACCTTCACTGCCACCTCTGCGGGCCGACGCCGACCGCCGCCGCACCCGCCCTGGGGCGCCCCGAGCCGCGTGGCCGCACGGCGGGGCGGGGACCGACCGACCGACGCCGACGACCGACGCCGACCGACCGCCGCGACCAGGACGATCGACCGACGAAAACGACGACGACGACGACGACCAACCGACGTTCTGACCACCGCACCGAACAACTGGCCGACCGCACCGACCGACCGACCGACCGAAACGAGCACGCGCGCGGCGGCACGCGCGGCCCACCCGGCGATCCCAACGCACCGCCCCTCACAAGAGACGGGCCGCCTCTCCCGAGCTTCTCGATGTGTGCGCGTCATCCTTGCGCAAGGGCCATGCTAATCTTCTCTGTCTCGTTCCATGTTTAGCGCATGATCCCCGAAGGGGATCCGGCTGCTCCCGGGGCCACTGTATGACACGAGGCCAGGACGAGGATACACTTGGGTGAGGATACGAGAATCTCTGATATGCGGCGGCTTTGGAGGATATACACCGGGAGTCGCGGCCCTCTCAGATCTCATAGCGTTCCCAGGACGCTCTGAGGGCGTTCCCGAACGCGGAGCGCTCTGGAACGGATTGATCCTCGTCCTTGTGCCCACCGAGCTGGGTGGGGCACGGCAACGAGGCCGGGCTGGGCCAGGCCAGGCAGGACCGGAGGCGGCAAGCAGGCGGGAGGCGAGGGACGCCACGAGGGGCAGAAGCTTGAGTGGCAGGAGGCAGCGCACGGCAAGGCACCCCAGGCAGATCACGATCAAGCTGCACTGGTCAAAACTTAGCCAGGACGCTCGCGATTATCTTCGCGCCCTCGCGCTACCGCCCTGGAGAAGGGCGCCTCTTCCACCGAAGCCGCAACGCGCAACGCGCGATTATCCTCGCGCCCCGGGAGGTGCCCTAGACTTAGCTGGGCCGAGCACAAGCTAAGGCTCAGGAGGAAGCCTCCGCTGGGGCCGACCGCTGACGCTGCCCCAGAGGCGCAGAACTGGTAGGGCAGAAAGCCGGCATCGGCACCAGGAGGTGCAGACCCCAACGCCTCGGGGTCTTGGTCCCGCGCGCCGACTTCCGCGGCCCCGACACGTGCCTTCACGCTGCAGCGCGTCCTTTCTCACCCCTCCGGCGCGCGGGGTTCGCGGCGGGCGGCCTCGGGCATGCGAGGCCCTGCCCCCAACGCCGTCGGCGCGGGCCTGTCGGCGGCAGCGCCGCACGCCGTGCCCCGCCGGCGTGCGGACACACCCGCACGCCGAGCTCGGGGACTCGGTGCCCGACTCGCGGCCCCAGCAGCGGGGAGGTGGAGGGGGGCAGGGAGCGAGCTCGCCCGAGAGGCCCGACAGCCCTGCCAGACGACGGGGAGGTCCGCCAGGAGCCCAGGGGGCCCCGAGGGGGGGGGCCCGGGCTCCGGGGCTGCCCTGGAGCACTGCACCCCTCCGAGTCGGGCCTGTCCCCCACAGGCGGATTTTGGTGGAAAAAATAAAAGTACTAGAGAAAAGGATGCACCCAAATAGTCAAAAAATAGTCCCCTGACTAGTTTTGACTATTTTTGCATACTCCTCCTGTAGAGGGACAGGCCCGACTTCACCCGGGAGCCTTCCAGCGAGGCCCCAGCGCCCCCGGGGCAGACTGCGGCCTTCCCTGGAGCACTGCCGCCTGACTCGCGGCCACGAAACCCTCCTCGGGAGCCTTCCTGGGGACCCAGGGACACGCAAATAAGTACGCACACATATCCCAGGAGTCCCCATGTTGTCCGATATTTCTTTGAGGCTCGTCTTCCCCCCCCACTTGCCATATCTTCCCCTACTTTCGGGGGGATCGACGACTCGTTGTGCCTGTGTGTGTTTGTCCCCCCCCCCTGGTTCCTGGGGGCCCCCCTCCCCCAAGGAGGCCTCTGGCTCACGGCGCGTGGGGCGCGGGCGGCCCCCGCGCTCCCCGCGGGCGAGGTCCCGCGGCGCCGCGGCCCGCCTAGATGGCCACGACGTCACTCGAGAGGTCGGAGCAGCGACCGCCCACGGGGCTCGAGGACACGGCCGCGGGATCCGCGGGCTCCTCGCCGAGGTCGCTGCGGCTGTGCTCCTCCTCCACGATGGGCGCATCGGGCTGACCCGCAGGGTCACCGCAGTCGTCGATGCCCTGCGACAGCGACGCGTCCGTGCCCTTCCGGCTGCTGCCTCCTCGGAGGATCTCTTTGAGGCCTGTCGGGGTGGGCTTCCTGAGGCTACGCCTCACAGCGTCGGCAGCGTCCGCCACTCCCGTTCCCGCTGCCATCGCGATGGTTCCAGCGGCCTCCACGCCGCGCGAGGTCACGGCGACTGCAGCCTCTGCCCCATGCTGCGCCAGCTGCAGAAGCTCCCCAGAGGCGACGCCTACTGCGTCCGCCCCCATCTGGACCAAGTGCCGCAGCGAAGACACATCGACGAGCGCGTTCGATCCTTGGAATGCTGGGAGTGCGCTCAGGAGGCTTACGTCTGACTGGCTTGACCGCAGCTGCCTCTGCGCAGCCTTCTCTCTTCTACGCTTCCGCGCCCGCCTCTCTCTCCATTTGGTACAGAAACAAGCCACTCTGCCAGAGTTCAGGTCCATAGAGTCTTGCACGCGCATTTTAGGAAGCGCTGTTCTGAGCATCGCGACGACTTCTCTCCATGCCTGAAGTAAATTTGTCAAGCCAGTGAGAACACCATCCTCGTGATTGCCAATGTTCCAGGGAGTTCGGTGCGTCAACTCCTCGCCCTCTGCCACGAAGTGTGTCTTGGCGAAGTCTATCCATGAGACGCCGACGTTGCCGTATGCGTCTGCAATGAGAAGTAAGCTACTACCGATGAACTCGTGAGCCTTCACGAAAGCGGACTCCACGCATGCGTGGTAAAGCTCCTCCAGCTGCTGCAACATCTCCTCGGCAATATCCACGGAAACGATGTCCTCATGCTCGCAGTCACCGTCGTCCGTCGCAGCGACATGCGCAAACTCGGCGAGGACAGCGATGACGTCCTCGTGGGTGATCATTTTCGCGATAGTCTGATCCAACAACTCACGCGGCTTCTTGCGATATCCAGCGATGCCGTCAACACGGAAGCCCAAGGAACTGATCGTCGTGTGCGCGTCTCGCGACGACATCCATTTGTACTTTGTAATGGCCTGCTTCTCCCTTTCCTCTGTTGTGAGGTCTTCGGGGTAGAGCTCGCACATGCGTTTGTAAAGATCGTTCCTCGGCTTCGGGTTGTCGCACTCCGACTCCAGGAACGTGCGGATGCCCAGCTTTATGTCTATGACCTTTGGCTGGAGAAATCCCATCAACAGATTGTTGATTCTGATGAACTCTATCGGCTTGCCGCTGTCGTCCACGCCCTTGACATCTCCATGGTACTCCGGAGTGTAGGCGTAGACGGGGTCCTCGGCATACGTATCTCTCAAGCGCCTGTACACATCGCGCTCCGTCGCGTCCAGCATCTTCAGGATGGTCCCGGGCCGGTCCACCTGGATCTCGCTGCCACCCCGGGAGGCGTGGCCGGCGGCGATGACGTCCAGCTTCTTCCTGGTGGCCGCGTCGGGGGCCTTCCTCCTTGCGCCAAGGGCTCTCGAGCCCGTCGTCTCGGGGCCGCCGCAGAAGGCGCCCGAGTCCGCCGACCCCAGCCCGACGGACAGGGCGGAGGCGCTCCGCCGCACGGCCTCGGCGCCGAGGACGCCGCACGGCTCGGTGGAGGCTCGGGGGGCGTGCATGGACACCCCGCAAGCCCTCGGCGGGAGGCCTGGAGGGGGGATGCCGAGTCCGCTCGGCTGCGCTCGGGCGCGCCCAGGAGGGGGGGACAGGAAGAGGGCGCCATGGTGCCAGGGAGGCCTCCTGGCTGCGGCCATGCAGGCCGCTCACTCCTGGTCCTCCCCCCCCTTGGACGCCCCCGATGCACGCAAGCGCGCCTCTGCCTACCTGGGGCTGGAGCCGATGGGGCCAGGCCGGAGGAATACCAGTCCTGATTTTTTCAGGACGGCGTCCCCAAAGTCCCGACCCTTTCCCCGGGGCCGGTTTTTCATCCCGAATCGTTTTGAAGGTCCCGAGGCCCGGCGAGGGCCCCTGGGGTCCGAAAATAGCGAACAACTTGCCGTCCTGATTTGTCCCAACCATCCTGTGGTGTTGGGTCCTCGTTTTGAAGAGACAGCGCCCCGCGTCCCACCTCCTTGCTCCTTCCTCCTCCTCTCCTCATCCTCCCTCCTCCTCCATCCTTGCCTTTGCTCTCCGCATGTCTCAGCTCAGCCCCTCCTCCCATCATCATCATCATCATCATCATCATCATCATCATCATCATCATCATCATCATCATCATCATCATCATCATCATCATCATCATCATCATCATCATCATCATCATCATCATCATCATCATCATCATCATCATCATCATCATCATCATCATCATCATCATCATCATCATCATCATCATCATCATCAGCATCAGCATCAGCATCATCATCATCATCATCATCAAGCAGCAGCAGCTCATCATCATCAGCATCATCAGCATCCTCATCCATCCTCATCATCATCATCATCCTCATCCTCATCATCCTCATCCTCATCCTCATCATCAGCATCAGCATCAGCATCAGCATCAGCATCAGCATCATCATCATCAGCCATCAGCATCAGCATCAGCATCAGCATCAGCATCATCATCATCATCATCATCATCATCATCATCATCATCATCATCATCATCATCATCATCACCATCACCATCACCATCACCATCACCATCACCATCACCATCACCATCACCATCATCCTCATCATCGGCATCGCCATGGCTGATTCGTTGCGTGGCCCCATAGGGAGCTCCACCGAAGGCCCCAGTGGGGGGGGCCACATGCGTCCCCCACGCCCAGGACAGCGCTTCATGGCCCCATAGAGAGCTCCACCGAAGGCCCCAGTGGGGGGGGCCACATGCGTCCCCCACGCCCAGGACAGCGTTTCGTGGCCCCACAGGGGGCTCCATCGAAGGCCCCAGTGGGGGGGGGCCACATGCGGCTCCCACGCCCAGGACAGCGTCTCGTGGCCCCACAGGGAGCTCCACCGAAGGCCCCAGTGGGGGGGGCCACTTGCGTCCCCCACGCCCAGGACAGCGTTTCGTGGCCCCATAGGGAGCTCCACCGAAGGCCCTAGTGGGGGGGGCGGCCACATGCGTCCCCACGCCCAGGACAGCGCTTCGTAGCCCCACAGGGAGCTCCATCGGAGGCCCCAGTGGGGGGGGGGGGCCACATGCGTCCCCCACGCCCAGGACAGCGTTTCGTGGCCCCATAGAGAGCTCCACCGAAGGCCCCAGTGGGGGGGGGGCCACATGCGTCCCCCACGCCCAGGACAGCGCGTCGTGGCCCCATAGGGAGCTCCACCGAAGGCTCCAGAGGGGGGGGCCATATGCGTCCACCACGCCCAGGACAGCGTTTCGTGGCCCCACAGGGAGCTACACCGAAGGCCCCAGTGTGGGGGGGCCACATGCGTCTCCCCCACCCAGGACAGCGTTTCGTAGCCCCATAGGGAGCCCCACCGAAGTCCCAGTGGTACAGTTCGCATGCGTCTCCCCCACCCCCGACAGCGTTTCTTGGGCCATAGGGAGCCCCACCGAATGCGATACTCACAACGACGGTATTCACAACTGCATATGGTGGGGTCCTTCGCCGGGCTAATTTTGTTGCGACGCGATCATGTCTGGGGATGGGGCCGGGCCGGAGGATCGCACCGCATCGCCGAAGCGTCGGCGATGCTCCGGGATGGAGGACAAGCGGGCCCTGCGCCGCGCCGCATCGCCGAGGCGTTTCGGCGCTGCGGCGCGACCCGCCGGCACCACCTCTCCAGCCCCAGGTGGGCGGCCTAGAGAGGTATATGCTGAGCTGCTGACCTCCTCCGCCTCCTCCTCGTCCTCCTCCTCCGCCTCCTCCTTCTCCTCCTTCGCCTCCGCCTCCTCCTCCTCCTCCTCCTCCTCCGCCTCCTCCGCCTCCTCCTCCGCCTCCTCCTCCTCCTCCACTCGTTTTCCTTATAAATCATTTCCCCCTGTCGCACCCCAAGGCCAGTTTCTAGGGCGGGCTGGGCGTTTCGCCTGAGACTTCCTCACCATCTATGACTCTGGACTCTGGACCTTGAGAATGACAACAGCTTTACAGATGGAGGGCGGGTCGTTTTCAAAATGTGGTTCTCGCCGTAGCGCCGCGCACATTCGCTTTAACAATTTGCACGAGTTTCACGGGTTGAAGGCGGGTGGTTTTCAAAATGTGGCTCTCGCATTAGCGCCGCGCACATTCGCTATAACAATTTGCTAGAGTTTCACGGCTTGGAGGCGGGTGGTGTCCAAAATGTTGCTCTCGCCGTAGCGCCGCGCACATTCGATGTGAAAAATTGCAAAAGGTTCACGACTTGAGGGCGGGTGGTATTCAAATTGTGGCTCTCGCCTTAGCGCCGCGCACATTCGCTGTGAAAACTTGCAAGAGATTCACGAATTGAGGGCGGGTGGTTTTCAAAATATGGCTCTCGCCGTAGCGCCGCGCGCATTCGTTTAGAAAGTTGCAAAAGGTTCACGAATTCGTGGTGGGTGGTATTCAAAATGTAGCTCTCGCCTTAGCGCCGCGCGCACTCGTTTTAAATTTGCAAGGGCTTCGCGCATTGAGGGCGGTTCGTTTTCAAAATGTGGCTCTCGCCTTAGCGCCGCGCACATTCGTTTTCAACATTTGCAAGAGTTTCACGGATTCCCATGATCAGCGTATCAGAAATAGCGTTTGGGAAGGATTCAGGATTATGCGGGTGCAACAGTTATGTGGATTCACGGTGTTGAAATTCCAAACATGGCGTTCTGGCACGACTCCAGATCGCCAAGACGCAGCAGTCAGGTTGATCCGTGGCGTGGAAATCCCGAGAACAATGTTTTGGTATGCTTCAAGGTCTTCAAAGGGTTGTCTTCCAACGAGGTAGTTCCCTCAATGGAAATGAAAAGTTGTGGGGGCCGATTAAGAGGGAGCTTGGGGGGAGCGTGACTTCCAACATCGTTGATGACTCTTGGGTTTATACTGGTCCTCCTCCTCCTCCTCCGCCTCCTCCTCCTCCGCCTCCTCCTCATCCTCCGCCTCCTCCTCCTCATTCTCATCCTCCGTCTCCTCCTCATCCTCCTCATGCCTGGATTGTGGTGTTGGTGGTAATCTTTCGGCCATCACCGAGATTGGGACCAACTTCCCTCGGTGGAGACACGCTGCCGATCTTGGTGTTGGTGCCAACCTCCGGGCCTCCGAAGGTGGGCGGCCTGGAGCGATAGGCTGAGCTGCGCGCAAGGGGGCCCCAAGTCGGGGGGCGCCAGCTGACCGCCTCACCGATCCCGGCCGGACCGATCCCGGGCCCAGGACGGGCCCGCTCAAGATCGGCGAGGTGGTGGGCCGACGCCTCCCGACCGGGAGGCGGGACGCCAAGTGTGCTCGGCTGCGCGCAAGAGCGACCCCGGAGGCAGGAGTGACCTCTCGGCGCACGGCTTGCCGATCGCGGCACGCGATGCGACAGTCGCGGCTTGCGAGCCTCCCCCCTGCCCAACAGAGTAAGAAGAAGAGAACAGATAATAAGAAGAAGACGAAGAAGAAGAGGAAGAAGAAGAAGAAGAAGAAACGTCATAGGGCCATAAACAAACGTTTTTGGCGCTCCGCGCGGATTTCTTGGATCTGCGCTGGACCCCCCCCCGCCCTGGCGCGCGGAGCGCGCCAGGGGCGGCGCCAGAGGCGCCGCCAGGGGCAGCCCAGAGCGGATCCAAGCCAATCCGCGCGCAGCGCCAACAGTTTAATGTTTCTGGTGTTTCGTCTTCTTCTTCTTCCTCTTCCTCTTCTGCTTCTTCTTCCTCTTCTTCTTCTTCCTCTTTTTCTTCCTCCGCGCAAACCGAAAGTCGGGCACACGAGGCCACTGCGGCGAAGGCCCACTCGTGCGTGCAGCGCCACGCCGGCCCTGGTCGGCCCGCCAGGGGCCCAGAACCGGCACAGGCGCCCTGCTGGCTGGGGCCGGGAAGGCACCTGCGCCTGGGTCTGGGGTTGTGCTGTCCCCATCGTGCTTGAGGACCAGATCCCATCACTAATCTCCCAATCAGTGCTTGCACTGAGGGGGTCCTAGCGGAAATTGAAAGATTTGCCGAACATTTCCCGCCGATTTTGGTAGCCGGGTGGGTTCCCGAGTTCCCGGTTTCCAGGTTCCCGGGCTCCTGCTTATTGGCTCCGGGCCGATTTCGGTGAGTTTCGGGTTCCCGGGTTCCCGGTCGATCTCCTTTATCGGAAACCATCCACTGATTGGGTTTTTTTTAGGGCGCCCAGAAAAGTATCGAAGCAGTGTCGAACGAGTATCGCCTCCCAGGGCCCAGGGCCCGACACGTGGAAACCCTCCAGTTTCGGTACTTTTTTGGTGCTCGAAACTCCTTCTGGTGATCAAGGAGGCTAAAGTAGGTTGGAACGTGAGAACCCCAGGGACGGGCCTGGCGGGGAGCGGAGCGGCGCGTACCAGGCGTCCTCCGGGAAGAGCGGGCAGCGGGCAGAGGGTGCCACGCCTCAACGCAGCCGCCGCCCTCGCGCTACCTCACCGCTGGGACCGCCGGGGCCGTGAGGGAACCTGGGGCGCCACGCCTGGGCCACACTCGCGGAGCCATGCTTGGACCGAAATGGCTGATCACGGAGGGGCACCAGGCCTGGCGGCCTCGGGGCTGGAGCAGGTGGGCTCG